AAAAGTAAATCAGAGCTAAAAAAGTGCAAAAACGCAGGCAAATTTGCCTGCGTTGGTCTACATATTAAGGGATAGCAAGCATGTCTACAAAGTGGGTGAAACTTGCCTATTTATATAATAAAAACATACTACTAATTATATATAGCACTTATACTAATGTTTCAACCATTATAAATATCTTTAATATCTCTAATACTATTAATACCTCCTATATTCCTTGATCCACTTAATTCTCTTGCATTATAACTGAGACATATAGCACAATAGACACATGTGACACATTTGATACATTCAGTATATTCGATGCAGTAACTCATGATTCCTAAACTTGTAATGTAATAGTTTAGTTGGGAGTTAGATCAGCAAGAGTAATACCGGTTTGATTCATTTTAGGTTAATTGTTATAACAAATAATAATAAACCTACTTTCAATCTTTGTTTTTGTTTATTTTAGCAAAATATACATATCTGAATGTATTATATATAGTCTATGCCCTTGCTCCAGAGCTATAAAAAATTATGTGAATTTATAATTTCTAAAAAATTAAATTATCTATTATACAAAAATTTTTTATTTTATATTTTATAGCAATTTAGATAATTTAATATATACCTTAAAACTTTGTATCTATTACAATAAATTGTGCTTATATATCTATTATATAAAAAACTCGAATTCATAAGCTAGCTAATTTTTTTTTGGTACTTCAGTACTATAATGAAAGACATATAAGATATACTATATATATATATGTACATGATATTATATCTGATATACAAATCATTTTTTACAACCTATCTCAACATACTGCTATATTTTTTTATATACATGATTTTTTAATTAATAACTAATATTTTTAACTAATTTAGCTCTAATTTTGATCTATACTATAAAAAAATCCTATTTTTTTTTACTTTTCAATACTTACTGCATTAACATGATACTTTCTCTTGTTAAATATTAGCGATGTTATTTATCTTCAAAAATAAAAATTAATATAATATGAAATGAATATCAAATCTGATTTCAAACTCTAGGTATCAACATTTAATCTTAGCAAAAATCTGCTAAAAAGTTTTTTTCTGCTACAAAAGAATAGTCATTAGTTTGCAACCTACTCATCATCACAACTAAAAATGTTTATATATTGGATTTAAACAAAAAACTTGTTATATACTATAGAAGAAAATGAATTTTAATCTGATTACTAAATTAAATAATTACTCCTAACTTTTTCTGGTTTATATCCCATTTAAAAATTCTCTTAAGAGAAAGATTGCAACAAAGAATAAAAGTATATAAAAATAGCTATATCTAGTGAAATATACAAATACTTTAACTGCAAATTATTAGAGTAGAATATTTCTAATTTTTTGGTAGTATCTGAAGAAGAGCCTTTTTAATAAAAGATAGATAGATATATTAAGAGCCTTAAAACTATTATTAAACATGAAGAAAACAAAAAAAAGAAAAAAGTGGAGTATTTTCTTCAAAGATATAGAGAAGTAAGAAATGCTTTTGGGTCAAAATTCTGAACAACAAATTACCAAAAGAGCATAATACCAACTAAATTAGCTAGCATTATAGCTAGTGCTAGCCAACTTTATCAGTATTATATTCTTTCTAGAATCTGCTTTTCAGAATTTTGACCAAATTTGTAAGATATAGTAGCATGCCAGGGATCTGCTTGGTTCTTGTTATTTAAGTCTATTTGCTAAGCCAAAACCATGTTGAGCACAAGTAACCTACTCAGTTGTTTGATGCTAAAAGGCTATTTGTCTATACTTTATAAGTCTACCGAAGCACAGATGATCTGTTCAGTTATCTGATGTTTAAAGGCTGTTTATTGATCTGGTGGGGATAGCTGATGGAGAATTGGGTTATACAAATTTAACTCATAATTTTTTTTTAAAGGTGATCAACTAGATTATCAAAAAACAAAAAAATGAGAAAATGTACAAAAATTAAATAGATTAAGACTATTATTTCACTTTTACAATCCAAAATTTGAAAGTAATTCTCTGATGGGAGAAGGAATCATTAATGATTTTTATCAATCTGAAAAAAAAGTCAAGATAATTAGAGAGAGACACTAGTACATACTTAAACTTTAGAAGTTCTGAAATGCAAGAGGATATATAAATAATGTATTTCCCTATAAGCAATGTCATATTACTCTTTAACATGAATAACCAAGAACTCTCGAATACCAAATATTATCAGGTATTGTCTTTAGAATCCAAAAGTAATACATTCACAAAACATTTGAATTGTAACGATCTCTTTTATAAACTTTTTTTATTTAATATATAATATATAGATCAATTAAAACAGAACAATAATGAGAATTTGTATATTGGTCAATCTATTAAAGACTATATTACTAATTATTATAATGCTAATGAAGCTATTTATATCAATAGTATTCAGTTATCTCAAGAGGTAATAGTATTTATTTGTACTACTTTAGCATTACAGTGCATTTTGTCTGATCTATGCTTCACTTCACAGATTGCAACTAAAGAACTTAATAAAATAATTGCAAAAATAAAAAAATTAGACTGCTATTTTTTTTAGTATCAGGTCATCAATTTATCTGACTATAATATTTCAAGTCCTGTTCAAAAATTATTAACAAAAACAAATAGACAGTTATTAAAAACAATTTGGAATTTAGTGTATATTTTTTGATTATATATTGATGTTTTAGGTTTTGATCTAATATTCTTATATACTCTTCTTAGTTAGAGCCATTGAAAAAAGGTTTCAAGACTATTTAGCAGAAGAAATAGAATAAAGTTATAAACTCTCTCGTGGGAAATACCAACAAAACTTAGAGCCCAAATTTGTATTTGATGATTTTCTTTTAGATCTTGCAATTGAAGAAATTACCACAAAACTATATACAGGAATATTTAATTATAAAGAATATTATAAGGGCTCTGACATTTATTATCTAATATCTATTTACTAGAGAGGCTTACTTCCACCCCCAGGTAAAATATTTAGCTAAATTTGATTGGCTATAATTGTTTAATATAAGGTAAGGTTTTGCTTGACCCCCATCCTTTAAAATATTATCTAATAAATGTTAGCATTCTAACTTGTTATAAGTACAAGACATATATAAACAATTGTAAATAATAATCAAAATTAATTACTTGTAATATATTAATATATTCTAATATTGTCATATTTTTTAGTTTATTTATATTTAAAGTGCCTATTAATATGCTATTAGATTCTAAGTAAACAGGGCTATCATATAGAGAAAATTTCATAAATTTTATTATTTCAAAATTGGTTGAAAATATAATGGATATTATTTAAGTGCTACAAATCAAAAATTACAACTAATCGAAAAGTTGACAACTAATTGATTGAAAAAATTTTAGCAACTCATATTAAAATCAAATAAAAATCGAACAAAAATTGAATAAAAATTGAATAATTGAAAAGTTGATAACTAAGGCTATACAAACTTATACTATTGGTTCTTATAACCTGGCCGGGTCAAATTCAACAAAAGTTTGAAAAAAATTTTTTATTATATTATTATCCGGGTGAACTTTTTTAAATTTTTGTAAAAAAATTTTATATGTTTTTTACATATAAAATTTTTTGAAAATAAAATTAAAAGCCGGGTCACTGGGTCACAAGAAGTTACTTGGTGATATGAAAACCAATAGTATAAGTTTGTATGGTTTAATCGATTGCAAAATTTTTGGCAATTTGTAGCACTAATTCAAGTAAAAACATGAGGTTTGTATTTTTTTTAAAAAAGTTCATTGTTTATTAGAGATTTATTAGTATCTAACAAATAAATTCTATCTAAAACTTTATATAGCAGTAAGATTAAAAATATATTGAGTAAAACTCAAAGAATTGAAACTCAATAGCATATACAATGAGTTAGTATTGGATATTATCAAGATAGTATTTTTAAAATAAATATCAATGCAATGACTTTTGAAGTAGGCTTTCTAGAAGTGATTGGCAATACTCTTATTGTTAATATTACCAAATTAAATGGTGATTTTAATAAAGTATTAAAGGGTAAGAAGTCTCTATATAGTTAATTTATTATCATGATTTATCTTATATAAAATTATTTGATAGCAATGCAGATCTCATTGTTTTATCAATAAAAACATCATATTCAATACAGTGCTACTAAAGATCAACTTACATGTTTAGAATCATATGAGATAATTGTTTATTATAAGCAATGTGAATCTGGTATTTGGTATTATATTGTTAAAAATTTATAAAAGTTTATAATTCTACTTTGATTAACTTTAAAACAAACTTTTACTATTTATGTTATACATAATATCTGTAGACTCAATATTGTAGATAAATTAGCAGAATTTTGTATCCCAAATTCAAAAAATTAACTATATATATTAGAAGAAATTATCAAGAAAGCCTATATATTCAAAGTGCTTAACTTTGATATTGTTAATTTGATGTATTTATTTATATTATATTACTTATCTGATCTTTGGGATATAATAGAGTCAGATCATAGATTATTATTTGAAAATAAGAATCTCTACTTATATTCAAACTTATATCGATATAGCAAAATTATCTATTAATGCCTTGCCTTTTAAAAATTCTAAATAAACAATGGTGATAGATTCATTTATAACCTTTATATTTGGATAATTTTGCATACTTTTTGATTGAATAAATAGTTATAATGCAACTAGCTAATAGGTTATTTTCCAGTACCCACATGCTATAAAAATTTAATATAGTAAAATAGCTTTAATAATTATAGTCATCCTCCTCTAATCACATGATTTGTTTTATATAAAAAAGATAGGGTTATTATACAATATATATAAAGTTTTTCTAATAATCAAAAAATGGTACTTATAAAGGCATATCTTGAATATGTGCCAGGTTAATAGCACAGTTGGTCTAAACTTAAGCTCCAAAGATCAAAATCAATTGTAATTAATTGATCATGCAAAAAAGTATATAAGCATCTAGAAAATATGTACTAGGTTGGGTTCTGAAAAATATCTTCAAATTTTTACTTTTTTTTTCTTTTTATTAAGACTTTATTTTTTAATTATAGTGATAATATAAAGCAATTTTTAATATATTTTATTACTACACATATAATATATAGAATAATACAAATAAACTTAAATTTTGATAATATAATAATTTATTTCTTTTTAAACATTTATTTGTTTTTGTAATATTCTTCGATAATTTATGTACTCTTTGCAATTGATCATTCTTTATGGTCTTCATTTCAAATTTTATTTCTGAATATTCGTTGACAGTGTGAAATTTGGTGAAATAAATAAGATGCTAACTTGTCTATCTCAATAGAGATTTAAATTTTCATATTTTTTTTGAAATATTCAAGTTGGCTATTATTGTTAATATTACTAATGCTAAGTTGAAAACTTTTCAATAGATATTCGTTGCTATATAGTTATGTTATTAAATAAGGGAATATTATTATAGCACTATAGCATTCGATGCTACCCTATATATAATAAACAAACTTGTATAATATGTAAATCAAAACAACTTTTAACAAACCAAAAATTAACTTTATTTAATATTAGAGTAAGAGTAAGAGTTAAAAGTTAGAGTTAAATAGTATTTATAGTAAAATTTAGCAAAGAATTTTTTTGTTAAAGCTTAAAAGATAGTTTTTTAGACAAAATTTTGAAATATAATAGTTTGTTTAAAAATTTATTTATTTTTATTACACAAAGCTGATCTGCATATTATACCTGATCTTAAATTTTAATTGGTTAAAATACTCTAGCACTATAGTGCTATAGTGCTATAAAATAAAATCCATTAAATAAATTCTGAATTGTTATTAATTAAAATTTAAAATATTATTTTAATTTTAATATCACCTTTAGATAATAAATATTATTTTCACATTTGGCTACTATGGTTTCAACTTGTAACTTATAAGTAACAAAAGTATTTGGTAAAATAAATTTGATATATTCATTTATTTTGTTTAGCTAAGCCCTGATTTGATGGTTTTTTGTATATAATTAATATCAGTAAAACAATATTCAATAGGGAACCCTCTATTGCCGCTTATTTATAGCACCAAAGGAGGTTAATAGGATATCAATTAGAGCAATAGTACTCAATAGAGTACTAGTAAAGTACCAATTAGATACCAATAGGGTAAACATGGTGGATATTTGTTTTAATTGGTTAAAAAATGTAAACAAAAAATGTAAACAAATAAACAAATATGCATAATATAGATTATTGTATAAATTTAGATATCTATAATATTGTAAAGTGAAATTTGGCATTAGCTCAAAGCAAAGTTTTCTTTTTACTAAGTTAACTTTTCTTCAAGCTTTAAGAAAAGTTGTAGAGCTCATTTTTGCGGTTCCAATAGTGGCAAGATTATCAAAATTGGCCTAGTGAATCTTGAGATATTATAACTTTTCTTTCTTTTTATATATAAAACTTTTTTAAAGAAGTTTTATATATATAAAAAGAAAAATTATAATATCTCAAAAACTACTAGGCCAATTTAGATAATTTTACCATTATTAGAACTACAAAAATGAGCTCTACAATTCTGTTAAGTTAAAAAGGGATTAACTTAGTAAAAAAAAAACTTTGTTTTAAGCTAATGCCAGATTCTACTCTACTATATTATAAAACTTATATAAAAACTTGTTTTAATTTTATAGTACTAATATAGCAATAGTGTTAATTTTATCTGAATTAGCAATTAATATATTTTTTTAATAAATAAAATTTTAAATAAAGTTTTTACTATTATATTTTATATATTATTATATAAATAGTTTTTTTTTTTTAGCAAAGGTGACTGACTCTAATTGTTAGCAAGATTTTATTAAGCAAGTATTAGACACTATATATTATGATGAAGGTACATCAAGCCACACGTGCACCTTTTGAGTGCCTATTTAAATAGTCTGCCCAAAGGTTCTACACTATCTGCCGTACCTGCACCCCAACTAGAGGGGTACCTATTTAAACCTTCTAATCTTAACATATTTGGCCTAACTCTACCTAACGTGGGTATAACTCACTATTCAAGCATAGGTTTTGCAACACCACTACATTTACTAGCCAACTTAGAACACTTAACTATTCTTAAGAGTAAACCCAACAGAGTGGTACATGTTCCACACATATATTCACTTGCATGTTTGGCAACTTCTTCCTAACTAGTACCTGTTGTACTGCTGACACTGAGTCTGTATCTCAAGCTACCTTTTAGAGTACTGCCATAACCCGATCCATATCTCAAGCTACAACCTTCCTAATTAGTCTCCTATTATGTACTCATTGCTCTTAATTGGTTTACAACAACCCTGGTACCCACATTTGGAACTGTCTCCTTACCTGGATTTTCTATCAGTCTCTCCCTTACTTCCAGCCGGCAACCTGGAAAGGTTGGTCTGCCTAGGCTTTAGGTACCTGAAGGATGCCCTCTCCTTGGGTCATACTTTCGGAGTATATACTCTTTTCCTCTGGTGCGACAACCTGGCGGTTCGGCTGGTGTGTCCTCCGGCATAGGACCTGGTCACTCGGTTCTCTGATCTCAGGCCCCAGTTCGAATTCAATTATTGTATAAATAGTTAATAATATTAAAGTATTTATTATATATAAAAATCATAATTCATTGCACTTTTTTAAATTAATTTATTTAATTTAATAGAAATATTTTTTAAATTTTTATATTTATATTATGAAATTTATTATATAATAAAAATAAATATTTTTTTATATTTATATTTAATAATAATTTAT